CAACTCTTCCACTTGGCTGCACGCTTGACAATCCACTCGAAGCTCCAGAGACATTTCTCATCCTTACAGAACCTACAAACACAAAATCAAAAATCAATCCTTATTTTCTTCAAAACGACATTTTCATTATCCACATTTTCAGTTAATCAATCAACAAATTATAACACCAAAGATACAATAATATATTTACAGTCGATAAATAGAAATTCTCTCAAATCAATTTCTGAAAATTTTCAGACAAGTTGATTTCCCCAATTCGATTTCTCATTTTAGGGTTCTTCAGTTCTTTTTTTTAGATTTGGATGTTCTGACTCAGGTTTAAATGATGATAGGTTACGAGTCGGATTAGATTCATATTGGGTCATGGTTAAATCAATTGACTTGGGTTTTCACTTTTCAGTTGCTTTGGTTTCGACTATAACTGGTTTAACATTGGTTCGGTCATTGTAACCGACAATTTTAAAACAATTTTATACATATGAGGAAGTTGGTTTCGAACTTTTATATGGTGTGGAATTAGATCTTTAACTTTAAAATGGGGTGCAATTATAACGAAGCCCAAAATCTGTGTGCACATAATGCTATATGAAATTTACAAGGGGAAAATATATCGTCACCCCTAATAAAATGTCTAGTTTGATTGGAACCGAAGGTTTAGTTATTGTTAAGAAATGGCGAGGTATTTTTTTTGTTTCTGTTAAAATTAGCAAGTAATTTTAGAGAACTGTGATTTCGATTAAGAACCTTGCACACCTTGTCGTTTAAGACAAACCTAAACGCTGTGTTTCTCTTGAGCTGATGATGCTATCATATTATTAATTGAAAAGTAAGTTGGGTTGTGTGGTTGAGAGTTATGATGATTGATTACTTTTTGCTCTTTATATGAAAAGATTTTATTTATCTATAATGAAATTAACAAATTAATATAATCTCAATTTTGATTGATTTTTTTGTTTTTCTTTTAATTTAGATTTTCAAATTCGAGTTTATATCATAAATATATTCAGTTTACTAAAAAAAGGTAACTAGCACAAATCACAAAAAATATAGATCTTAATTATTTTCTTAAACTTATTTTAATTTAATTGTTTAACCTACTAATATTTTTGACTAACCCAATTGATATATGCAGCCACAAGTAAAAATCTAAAACCTTTAAACCTTTTTGAAACTCTGTATATATTAAAACAAAGTTTTCAAGACAATCTAGATCAATCGACGGTCGTACGCCTCTCTCTACAACTTTCTCTTTAGATTTTTAATCTTTTTAAAAAAAAACAGTCATGGAAGATTCGAAACTTCGATTTTATTGAGAGTTTTGTTGGATGCAACAAAACAACAAAGCATACATATAAGTTTTATCGGATAATAAAAATATTTAAAAAATAAGATATAGATAATATATTTTGCTTTGTCACAAAAAAACAATATACTCATGAAAATTCTATTTTTTCAAATATATTAATTTTGATTTCGAATAATTATAAAATCTGTTTTTTTCATCTACAAATAAGCTAATACTATGTAATAATCTGCACTCTCTGCGGGGTAAAATACATATTATATATTACAATTCGAGAATATTCTTGTAAATTAAAAATTTGTGTAAAACCACCTAGTAAAATTAATATATATTATATGATAAAATAAAAATTATATGACAAAAATAAAAATCATATTTATTATATGAAACTTATGAATTATATGGCTCACATTCAATTCTTTGTAACTTTAAATCACATATCTCAGTATTAATGTTAGTAAACCACCAATACTTATCTAGCCAAAATTTTGATATGCAACAAACTTGATTCCATTTTCCATGTGAATGATTGAATAAATGATAAATTGTAGGTTGAAAATGTAATGTATACATAATATAACATAATATTAATTTTAAGATGTAATGAATATGGTTATAGTTTTGATGTTTTTGTTATTATTGAGTATATAGAAAATAATGTGATATATAAACTTTATTATAATTAGCTTCTCTATAAAAATATTGATGTAAGTTAAAATATAAGTTTACTCAGCTTATATATTGTTTTTACTCGAAATAAATTTTGAAACATTGATGACTTATTAAAAAAAGTATCATTACCGTTCATAATCGAACTTGTATATATCTAAATTAACAAAAAAAAAATTAACTGATAGATTAGTAATCAGTAATATTACTCAAATCTAAATTAAATTAGTGGTTGTGCCATAAATTAAATTAATTGTATTATTAACTTATATCAAATGCAATAGATTGTATTTTGATTAAAATTATTAATAAATTCAATTAGCTCAAATTATATTATATAATATTATACATTAGATTTTGTAAAAATTATAAATTATTAAATTATTTTTAATTAACTAATTACATCTAAATTTATTACTGATTAAATTAGCTGTATATTTACCATATATCAAATTTAATAGATTTTTTTAGAAAAACAAAATAAATTATTAGTTAATTTATAAAGTGTTATGATAAATATAAGATTTGTTTTATTAATAAAATTGCAAAAATTAAATTGATTATAGGATTTTAATATTATTTTATAGAAATATAGTTTTGTAATTAGATTAATCCGTAAGACATGTCATAGAAACATAGAAATATAGTTTTGGATTTTAAAAAAAAATATTGTTAATTTTATTCCCAATACTAAATATACATAGAATTTATCTAAAAGTAGATTAAATATTTTTTAAATTTAATATTGTTAATAAGTTATCCAAAATTATATATAATTGAGTTAATATTTATAAACCATTAACTTTTTGATCTAATATTAAAAAAAATTATATTTAAAAGCTTGATTAAATTATTATATAATATATTAACAAAACGAATTAATTTTTTAACCAAGTTATTTTGTTTGTATAAATTAAAACTTTTATAATAATATCACTTAATTAACAAAACTGAAATATTTATAATATTAGATTCTTTCAATATATTTAAATATATTTTATATTTCGAATTTTCATATAATATTTTAATTTTTTATTATATTTAAGTATTTATATTATTTGGATAATTTTATATGGTTCTATTGAAAATTATATTAAACCAAAAATAAATTAATATGAATGTCAATTAAATCAAGCTTCTTAGTTTTGCAATTTTTGTATCATTTTTTGTTTTTTCCAATAATTTTTGAACCATCTATTAGTCTACACATCTTTATTTCTAATGTATGAATTTTAATAAAACATACTTTTGTTTTTAATAATTTAAGTAATTTTATTTTTATTTTAAAAAATTTGAATTATAACACATATACAAATAAATCTATAATTTTTTACTATATGGATGATGTGATAATTTATTTATTTAACAAAAATATGTTTAAATAAAAATAAGAGAAAATATTTATATTTTTGGTAGAAAATATAATTAAAGAAATAATTGATATGATATATTTTTGATAAGATATAGAAAAAAAGAGAATATTTTACTACATTAAATGCTAAATTATATATAAATGAATGATATAAACTTATTTTTATATATTTGTTAAAAATGAATGTGGTGATAACACATCAGCAAAAAAATACTACTGTAAATACTTACAAAAATAAAGTTAGTCTCTAAAAATGCTTCTTAATTAATATATAGAGAATTATTAACTTTTAAAAAAATTAATCTAACTCGTAAAAAGTGCGGGAAACACCTAAATTGACAAAATTTACTAACCTAGTTTTTGACTAACCTAATTACTAAATCAGAAAAGTCACGAAACCTCTCATTACACTTCCGTCGGAAATCGATTGCATTCCGAAACACCGTGGGTTCGTCTTCTCCGTCTTCTTGTGCCTCTATAAAAGTTTTTTGCTTGCGCTTATGTAATGCCAACGATGAATCTGCTTCGTCTTCCCGGTTTCCGGCGAATGTTGATGGAACTTGAACCGAAGAAGAATTTTGAGTAGTGTTAGCTTCTTTAAATCAAATCTAAAATCACGTCTCTGAAACTTGCCGTTTAAAATGTTTGTTTGCAGATTTTCGTTTGTTCTGAAGAAGAAAAAAAATGGTTGGTAGTAGATTGAAGCTAGATGGGATTAGCCAGTTACCTGATGCTTTGATATCTGAGAATCTTTCTCATCTTCCCACCGAGGAAGCTGTTTCTACAGACGTTTTATCCACAAGATGGAGAAATCTCTGGCTCTGGGTTCCTTGCTTGGATTTGGAATCACGTAAATTCCCAAATTTCAATGACTTTATGAGTTTTGGTCAAAGGTTCGTGGATTCCAACAGGGTTTCTTGCTTACACAAGGTCAAGTTAGATATTGATCAAAATGATGAAGACGAGGTTTTTTATTCCACTTCATGCATTAGTTAAGCGGAAGATCCAACATCTAGAGGTTAGGTACAGGATTCGCGAGATGCCCCTAAGATTTCTTACCTGCAAGACACTGGTGTACTTAAAACTCGTTCTGGTGAGCTTCCATGATGCCAACCTATCAAAGCTTAGCATCTCCAAGCGTGTTTCCTTACCTTGCCTCAAGACTATGCATTTAGAAGCTCTTCTGTTTTCCAGCGAGAGACTTGTCTCATCCTGTCCCGTCCTGGAGGAGTTGACGATTAGTGGATGTTTGAATGATGGGTACTCTTCAATCTTTCCGGTGCTCTCTAGGTCACTGAAGAAGCTCAAGATAACAAAACTATGGTATTTTTGGCATGATATTGATACACAGTTTGTGATTGATGCTCCTCTACTAAGCTTTTCGAGCATCAAAGATAACGTAACAGATGGCTTTATAGTAAAAAGTATGCATCCCAATGCCAAGTTAGAGATCTCGGTGGCCTTTGGTTTGATGCAGAAGTTTTATCCGAGACAAGTGTGATCCGTGATTTTCTCGTGGGGGTTTCAGGGGTCAAGGAGATGATCATATATTGGGACACCTTCGAGGTATATATATTTGTCTGTCAATACATATGTCTTTGGTCAAGAAAGTTTCTTTTCCCTGAAACATATCTTGTGTCTTGTTGTGTGTCCCAGATCATCTGCCTATACTCGAAACTAGAACCGGTGCCTCAGTTTCGTAACATGTCCCTCCTGCATGCCAAGCTTTTACCAACTCATATGAAATGGGTACCTACTGCCCGATCCTGAAATCCCTCATGTTGGTGATGATTTGTCTCATCTCTATGAAGATTTTCTTCTGTCTTTTTCATTTCGTGGGCTCATGTTTATATTCTTTTTTCTCCTTAGGAATGGGTTGATGATTACGACAAGATGTGTTCCGATGAGATGGATCAAATAAGTTTTCACTCTGCGCCGGAATGTTTGTTATCGTCGCTCGAGTTTGTAGATATCAAAAGCAGCGTCTCGAGACATGTTGCAGAGATGAAGCTAGTAAGGTACTTCCTAGAGAGCTCTGCTATGCTCAGGGAACTGACTCTTCGTTTGAACTGTGATGCAACACAAGATGTCATCTTCAAGAGCCTCCTCAAAATGTCAAGACGCTCTGCCACGTGTGAAGTCGTCATACTTTGATTGGTCAAAGACGAGAGAGAGAGAGAGAGAGAGAGAGAGAGAGCATTTGAAGCTTGAGCTCTTGCAAGTTGCAAGTTGCAACACAAGAAATGCAAAGGTGCAAGGCTTTTGTTTTATGTTTCTTTTGGAGTAAGTAGTGATCAAAACTGTTTGCAAGAAATCTTTTTTCTTGTTTAGAATTGATGCTTCTTGTTCTGTCTAGCGAAACTAAAATCTTTGTAATCATGAAGGTCGTTTATAAACAAGTTAAGCAACGAAGTGTTAGTTTTAAATGTTGTTTATAAAACAAGTTAAGCAATGAAGTGAGTTATTAGTCTTGAACGTCATGTTTTCTTATAGAATGTTGGGCTTTCTTATAGACTAGCCCAAATTGAGTAGTTATTTCGACTTTTGGGCTTTTATCGGACAACATGATTCTTGGGCTTTAGGGTAAGAAACACATCGTCTTCAGACAAAAAGCAACACAGTTCCGGCGACTGAATCCCCCAAATTCCCCAGGCAAGTGTATCCATTCCCGTCGGCGAAATCACGATCTACACTTCCGGTAAGTGATTTCATTCCGTTCTTGGTTGTTCTTCCTTCGCCCTTTTATTTTTCTCAAATCGTCTTTCATAAAAACAAGAAAAAACGGAGGACTAGTCTCAATGTCGTCTCTCTCTCACGATGAATATTTGTGTGTTTCATCTCGTCAAAATGGTGGTTTTGTTATGCAGAGCAGTGTAAAAACCTCAGAAGAAGAAAAAGCCATGGCTGATACAAAGAAATCGAAAGAGATGATCCAGAGGTTGAATGAATTAGATAGGATAAGCGAATTACCCGAAGCTTTGATATCTCAGATACTTTCTCATCTCCCCACGAAGAAATCTGTTAGCACGAGCGTTTTAACCACAAGATGGAGGAATCTCTGGCTCTGGGTTCCTCACGTGAGATTGGATTCCCGAAAATTCCCAAGTTTAGATGCATTCGTGAGTTTCGGCGACAGGTTCTTTAGTTCCGATGGAGTTTCCTGCATAGAAAAAGTCGAGTTAATCGCTGATCGAGATGAAAGTGATTACGTCACGCCATGGGTTGATTCTGCGGTTAAGCGTAAGCTCCAACATCTGGAACTTCAGTATTGTAGTGAGATGCCCTTAAGCGTTTACACCTGTAAGACACTGGTCTCGTTGAGTCTCCACGAGGTGAGTATGGTCAACTCAGAGTTTGTCTGCTTGCCTCGTCTCAAGACAATGCGTTTAAACGTTGTGTTGAATCCCGATGATGCCACTTTCGAGAGGCTTGTCTCGTCATGCCCTGTCCTTGAGGAGTTGGAGATTAGCGACTTTCTTAACGACGGTGCGAAGCGATTCAGGGTGATCTCTAGGTCTTTGAAGAAGCTTAGTATGCAACTCGGTGGTACTGGTTCAAAAGCTGTGATTGATGCTCCTCGACTAGGGTTTTTGAAGGTCGATGGTACCTTAGAGGATAGCTTTACAGTAACCGATATGGATTCCGAATGCAAGCTAGTTCTGTCTATCTGCTCTATATGGAATTTTGATGAATCAAGCCTTTTATCAGACAGAAACATATTCTCCAGGTTTCTCTCCGGGGTTTCTAATGTCAAGGATTTGACAATATTTGGAAACATTTCCACGGTATGTAATGTACTAGATAATTTACATTTACGGATCATGAAAGTTTCTGGCCCGTGTTAATGTTTTCTTTCTTGTTACACTAATTTATAGGGCTATTTGTATAAGATATGGTTACCAGCCATTCTTGAGAGCTTCCCGAACCTGAAGTCCCTAAGCTGGGTGAGATGATATCCTAAACCCTAATGATTGATTTTGTTGTTGTTTCAGTCTCTGTGAAGATTTCGCTTTATGTTTTGGTTACGTTTTTTAATCCTCTCTTCTTATCTTCAGGAATGCGACGCGGAGTATGAGGAGCTGCACTTTGAGGAGATGAAGGAGATCAGTTTTGCATATGTGCCTGAGTGTTTGCATTCGTCTCTCGAGCTTATTGATTTCAAAGTCCCATTCTCAGGACTTGCTGGAGAAATGAAGGTGGTAAGGTATTTCTTGGAGAATTCGGCTCTTCTCAAGAAACTCACTCTGCATTGTCGTCGTGACTGTTCAACAAAAAGTAAATTCAAAAAGAAACTCCTCAGAATCCCAAGAGCCTCTACCATATGTGAAGTCGTGATCCTCTGAATGGTAACGAGTAGAGAGAACGTAGTGATGGTTTTTGTGTTAAAACAAAGTGAGTATGCGTTCTAGTTTCATAAAGATATTACTACTAAGTTGTCAGGTGATAAAAGATATTGTATTGTTTTTTTTTTTTTTTTTTTTTTTTTTTTGCTTTCATGGTTTGTAGTAGTAACTGTGAGACTTCAACTGAAGCAGAGGAAGACACTCCTTTGCCGTTGAAGAAACCTGAAAACGGAATTAGAGCTGAGTGAAGACTCGTAGATACATTTGCAGTTTCATGAAAACTCAAGAAAGTTTTTTGTTACCAGTATGCTAATGCTGTCTTCAAATCAAACATCCACCTCTCTCATTAGGATATTGGTTTCCCATCTTCTTCCATGAAATCAGACAAGTCCATATCAGAAGATGCCCCTCTGTTGCTCAACTCCGATCCAAATGAAACCTCAAAGTTTTTCAAATAAAGTTTTTGAGAAAGCAACACAACGTAGTAGAGTAAGAAACAAAACAGAAGTTTAACGATTTCAAGTATGGGAGTGTCTCTTGAATGATGGAGGTGGTACGGTGAGATCCTTTCCTACTATCGGTTTAAGTGAAAACTAGATTCTAACGCGCAAGATAAAGTTTAAAAAAGATTAAAATTTGTAATTTATAAAATATGATATGAAAAAATAAGGTATAAATGTGTTATTTTCATGATTAGATTTTTTTATATATTATAAAGAGTGAATTTAAATTTTGTAAGTATACAAATATATAATTGAAAATAAAATATTATAAGTTATTTGTTATTGATTCAAATATATTATAACTATAAATAATTTTTTTGTTTTTGTTCTTCTTTTTCCATTCTCTTATTTTTAAAAATTCATCTGCTTTTTCTCTGTTTTTCTCTTCTCTTCCACTTTTCCCTCTTCTCTTTTTTTTTCTTCACTCTTCTTCTTATTCTCCATCTTTTGTCTGTTTTACTTCTCGTTCTTCTGTTTTTTCTTCTCTAGTTTTTTTTCTCTGTTTTTCTTCTTCGTACTTCTTTCCTGTATTTCTCTTCTTCTCCAATTTTGTTCTAAGTTCCCTTTTTATGTTATTCTTCTCTCTTCTTCCTCTTTTCTTATTTTTATTAATTTTCTTCTTTGTTTTTTTCTTCATTTCTCTTTTTTAGACATTTTTTTTTATTCTTCATCTTTTCCTCATTTTTCTTTTTCATTCTTTTTTCTGTAACTTTTCTTCAGTTTTTTATTTTCGTTTGTTTTCTTCTTCGTGTTTTTGTGTTTTTTCCTATTGTCTTTTCCTTTTTTCACTTTTTTCTTTTTCTTTAATTTTTTTAAAAAAATTGCAAAACAAAATAAAAATAGAAATTTCTTATACTAAATAATTAATATTATACTATTAAAAATAATTAATATTATTTAAATAATTAAATATATATATATATTATGGTGATAGTATTTAATAATAATATATATAAGACGAACCGATATAGGCTTTGTATTGTAATGGGAAGAAATTGATCATGGTATATAAACTTGGTTTTCTGGGTATATGAACAGTTATTTAGGAAGTCCAATCGTAAAAATAAAAAATAAAGAATATTGACATATAGCTCCGGTCTAACATATTTTATGTCTCTTAGGAAAAATAAAATTTAGACCTTAATAATATTATTTTTGGCATTTTTTATATATTTTTAAAATTAATTTCGAATTAAAGATAAAAAAGCTTGATAGTTCTAAATTTTAAATAAAGATGGGCCTTTTATAAGAAGGATAACAAAATATTGGGCCTCTAATGAGAAGAGTAATAAAAGATTAGGCATTTAATGATTTAATAAAAATAATAGATCTAATAAATTGTATATCTATTACTAATAAAAGTTGATGCTAAATGCATTTAAGGGTACCCACATAGGATTTAAAAGATTCAATTCTATTGGTACAAATCATCATTACCTATAGTTAATTATATATTGTATATTAAAATTAATTAATTCTTTTTAATTGTTATAAGGAAAATTTCTAAATTTTGATTAATTTTGTTTTTGTTGTTATTAGGAAAGTTTATAAATTTTAAGTTAGTTATTAATAAAAAGAGTTTTGAAAATAGATCTTATTTTTCTATTAACAATAAAAAGGCAAATTAACATATAAATAGATTATGAAAGAAAAATCATATATATTGACCAAAATTATTAAAAACATATTTAAAACCATAATTAAATTATTTTAAATTTTTAATCACGACAAACAATTAAAATCTGAACTGTTAACTTAAAATATATTAGTTGTGGTCCGTGTTGATGTCTTAGGCTAATGAGACCATCCACATAGGACATATATACTCAATCTGATTAGTCTATATCAGCGTTTTTCATTAAACATAAAAAATAAAAAATATTATTAATATTTTAAATAAATTAAAACATAAAAATATAAAATTATCACAACAGAGTGGAAAAATTAAGATAATCTTTTTTAACTAAATAAATAAATTTATGTCAAAAGTCTAAATCTATTGTAAAAATAAAATAGAAGCTCATTGTCACAAAAATTAAACTAACAAAAACAAATATGTAAATCAATAACGAAAAGGTTAAATTAAAAAAGTAATTTGGCATATATATTTTAAATGAGTAATTATAAACATATTAAGATTAAATTTTTATATAAACATATAAAATTATTATTTAAAAATATCAATACTACCAAAAAATATTCATCTTAAATTATCAAAAAAAGAAAGTCATCTAAAACTTATAATTTTGGGGGAATATTTAAAAAATTAACACAAAATCTTAACAAACTAAAAATAATACTTTATGCTAATTACTGAAGAAAGCAATATAAAAAAATTAACTAAAAAAAACCAAAACATAAATTACTTTTTACAACATGTCAATACAATTAAAATAAAAGTCCATATCGAAAAAGTCAAATTAACAAAAAAGAGGATATTAACTTAATATCTATGTTATTTATTTAACAAAATCAATATAAATGGAATAAGTAAGAGAATAAAAAAAACTTAAATAATACTAAAAAACTTAACTAACAAAAATAATATAAATATTTAAGCTATTTATATAACAAATCAATATTAAGAAATTAATTAACTAAAAAACTAAAACGAAAATTAAGTTTAACAAAATATTTTTTTTTTAAACACTTAAAAATATATTGACTTGATATCTGACTAACTACTTAAATAATTCATATAAAAATACTTAACAAACAAAACTTTATGTCTTCAAAATATCAATATTTTAAAAACAGTAAGTGTGTTAAAATAAAATAAAAATCAATATCAAGAGAGATAAATTATCAAAGGGAAAAGTCGCATAAAATAAAATTAGCTTGATATTTAGGCTAACTACCAAGCAAATATTAACTAAAAAAAGCAAATGATGGTATAAGCTTTTGAGAGAAGTTCACTTAAAATTTAGAATAACCAATTATGGCATGTCAATATAGCATTTTAATTAATTTAAAAAGTAAATTTAACAAAAAAATTTATGTAAAAGATATTAGATTAATATATATGCTACCTATTTGAAAAATCAATAACAAAACAGATTAATTAAAAATATATATGTTTTAAGTATATCAAACCTGCAGAAAATTAATAATTAAAATAAAATATAAAATAACCATCAAAGATATTTAAAATAACAAAAAACAAGATCTAAGAAGAAAATTAGTTTAAAATATAGTTCCAAAAATATTCATGATTTCTAAAATATTGGTGTTGACTATGAATAATCATATAAAGTTTTAATAGGTTATACAAGTTTCTAAATCAAACAAATTATTTAAATTTACAAAGATTAATATTTTGGTTGCGTCTGGTTGAAAAATTAACAAAGTAAAATACTACACAAGTAACTTTACATTAAAAATATAATAAGTAATAAAGTCTGAGTTGTATACATATTTACTGCTTATAACTTAGTCAACATGAACAACACATGAGCAACATCTTCTAAAATTTTATTTAAATAATATAATATGATAAAATTATGAATCAAATTTAAATGGGAATATATGAATATAAAATATTTAAATCAAAACATTAATAAACATACAAAAGATATAAAAAACAGTGATAATGTGAAGTCTCAACATCATCTTACATGTTTAAAAACAAATATTAGCAAATAGTTCACTGCAAATAAAACAGATCTTATAAACTGAATAGAGATATCACCTAAAATTCGTAGAAGATCTGGTGGAGAAGCAAAAAGCAGCTTTACACGATTAGTGTAGCTTACTAACAAAAGTAAATTTGAATCAACATATATCATATATTATATATGTATATATACATAATATTAGTGAGACATTTAGTAAAGAAACTAAATATTTAAACATATAAACTTTTTTAAAAAAAAAACCATAGAAATCTTAAGGATACAAAACAAAACACCAAAAATTTAGTAAGGAAATCATTTTCTAAATCAAACATATGCACATCGAAGTTGGATAATTCGTTAGGTGTCATTACTATGATTTTACTTAATAAGATTTATAATTTTATAAATAAAATAGAAAATACTACATATTATGTTTTAATTTTTTATATAAAAGAAAATTTCTATAAATATATTATAGTTTTGATAATTTAAAAGATATTAGTCAAAAAATTAAGCCAAATTATTAATACAGACTCGCGCGTAGTACGAGTTAAAAGCTTAGTATTTAACGAAAGTCCAATGACATATTAAGTAAATAACACATTAAGTAAAAAGTTAGTTTTCTAAAGTAAATTTTTTTTAAATAGATTTTGAATAAATTATAGATTAACCCACATTGAGTTGCCATGTTCGATTGTTGGGCTTTTTATTGGGCAGCAACATGATTGTTGGGCTTTTGTGTAAGAAACACACTACACAATCTTCTTCGGAGAAAATGCAACACAGTTCCGGCGACTGAATCCCCCAAATTCCCAGGCAAGTGATTCCATTCCCGTCGGCGAAATCACGATCTACAGTTCCGGTAAGTGATCTCGTTACGTTCTTGGTTGTTCTTCCTTCGCCCTTTATTTTTCTTCAAAATCGTCACAAAGGACTAGTATCAGTGTCGTCTCTCTCACGATGAATGTTTGAGTGAGTCTTGTAGCGTATGTTAATTTGAGTGATTTCATCTCATCAAAACGGTGATTTTGTTATGCAGAGTAACCTCAGAAGAAGAAAAAAGCCATGGCTGATACAGGGAAATCGAAAAAGCTTCACCAGAGGTTGAAGCAATTAGATAGGATAAGCGAACTACCCGAAGCTTTGATATCTGAGATGATACTTTCTCATCTCCCCACAAAGGAGAGTTTGTTTCGTTGCCTTTTCTCAAGACAATGCGCTCAGACGTTATTTGGAATCACTTTCGAGAGACTCGTCTCATCAGTGTCATGCCCTGTCCTGGAGGAGTTGGTGATTAGCGACTTTCGGAACACTGATGCAAAACTCTTCCGGGTGATCTCTAGGTCGTTGAAGAAGCTTAGCGTAAATGTCGTCGGTATGGACTCACAATTTGTGGTCGATGCTCCTCCACTAGGGTTTTTGAGGATCGATGGTACCTTGGAGGATAGGTTTGTGATAACCGATGTGGATCCCTGTGTCAAGCTAGTTCTTTCTCTCAGCTCTGAATTTAGGGGTTTTGATGGAGTTAGTCTATTATCAAACAGAAACAGGTTCTGCAGCTTTCTCTCTGGGGTTTGGAATGTCGGGGACACTATAAGAATAATGTAACATAGCTACAAATTTTGTTATAGAACAAAATTGTAGTTTTATTTTGTTACAATTTGCAACATTTGTTACGATGTAAAATTATGATTAATTTATAGCAAATTTATAATTATTTGTATCGAATTAGCTACGATTTGTGATGTCAATTTAATTGTTGCAAAATTGTTTCAAAAAGCTTCAGTAACAAAAAAATGTTTGTAATAAATTTCTAACTTTCTTTATAAAAATAGAATTTGGTAGAAAAATAATAGGAAAAAGTTAAATAGTATTGGTAAATAAGTGGTAGGAATTAATTTTCGTAAAAAATCAATGAGTAAATTTTTTACTATTTTCCTACTACTATTTTTGACGCATTTTCCTACAATTGTATTTCGTTAGAAATTTTCTAGGATATATCTACCACATTCGATTTTAAATTCCAAAACTTAAATCTTAAATTATATACTCAAACCCTTAAACTAAACCTTTAAAATAATTAATCACTATACATCCAAAATTCAAATCCACATTTATAACAGATTTCAAAAATATTCAAATCTAACCATTTTTATAGATTTCAAACCCCAAATCCCAAATTCTATATCTAATATTTAAAATCCTAAAACTTAAATCATATACCCTAAATTATGAACTTAACCTTTAAACTTTACACTCAAACATAAAAACAAAATTACAAAACCAAAATATGTAAATTTTTAATTATTAGTAAAACATGTAATTAACTGATTTTTAAAAAAATATATTGAAAATCATAAATATTTTACAAAAAAAACATAATATTTAAACTTTAAAAATGCAAATAAAGAAGATCATTTTTCGTTGGTTAGTTCATAAAAATCAGGATCACACTTTGATTTGATCCTCAACCGTTGATAAAATCAAATCCAACGGACATAAATCTTTCATTTTTTCTTCTCCTTCCTTTTTCTCTCTTCGACTGTAAAACACTTTGTGTTCTCTCCTCCTCTTCGTCCTCTTCTCCTTCCTCCACTTTCTCCTCATCTTCTTCAGTTTCTTCATCTCGTTCCTCTCTTCTTCTCCCTCTTCGTCTTCTTCATTCTTTAGTTAGCAGATCTACTGTCGAACTTCATGTCAATTGGTGTTTGCGTTTTGAAGGAGGAATCGCGCCCTTTCTCTCCTCCGGCGGAGGCGAGGCGTGGATGAACGACGGAGGCAAAGCGTGGATGGAGGACGAAGGCGAGGCGTTGATGGAGGACGGAGGCGAGGCGTGGAGGACTCGTCTTGTTCATGACCAGCTCTGTACCAGTTTTGAGGGCGGCAGTGTAGATCTAGGAGGAGTTCAAGCCGGAGAGTAGCCGCCAAAGCTTCCTTTGCCAAGATCCGTCGTCTCTGAAGTCTGCCGCCGAGGAAGCTGTACCAAGCACCTGATAGAAGGCCAGGACTTCGTCAGAGATCAGGGCTTAGCGGAAAACTATAATCAAAGTTGGATACTCACAGATGGAAACTGGATTTGAAGTCAGATTGGAGCTTGCGGGTGGTGACTTGCCGACGCCGGAAACACATTTTGAAGTTGGCGGCGCTTGATGTTGAAGATAGATTAGTTTTTTTTTGGTATTGTTCCGGTTTAATCGATTGGTTTGATCTGATTTCAATTTTGTAATTTTTTTTATTTCCCGGTTTGGGTTATTAATATAGTATTATTAAAAAATATCGATTTTTTTATTGATTTAATTATGTATTGTTTTGTTTTTTTAACAAAAGTATATATTTTATATAATTAAATAGTTTCATTTATTTATTTTGTTCTTGTTTTCAAAAGCCACGATATAATCACAATAAATACCGTATCTAATAATTAGCCATGACAATTGCATGACTACATCGTGACTAACGTTTTCATTGGCTATAAATATTTTGTGAAAAATCGTATTAAATGCTACTATTTATACTATAACTAATTGTAGCTAATTTGTTACAGAATAAATGTAACACAGTTGAAGTAAATTGTTACAATTTTTATTTGTTGTTAATTTGTAGCTATTTTGGTTACAAATTATGACAACACAATATTTGCTACAACTACATAGTTACTAATTTTATTTTGTAACATATTGTAGCAAAAATGAAATTTGCTACAAAATTTTATTCATAGCTACAAATTTTTTTGACAATATTTGGAAATAGTTCCAAGGTATATTATATATTTTTCAGTTCCTGTATAAGAAAATTTTAAATTTCTGATACACATTAAGTTTCTTTGTTGTTAAACACAAAATTCACAGGGTCATTTGTATTCGAAATGGTTACCAACCATTCTTGAGAGCTTCCCAAACCTGAAATCCCTCAGCTGGGTGAGATGATCTGCTAAAACCCTATCATTTTGTTTTTGTTTTTTTTTGTTTGTTCAATCTCTGTGAATATTCCGTTTATCTTTTGGTTGCGTTTTAATCCTCTCTTCTTTCTTCAGGAATGTGACGACAGGTTTAAGGAGCCGCACTTCGAGGGGATGAATCAAGTCAATTTTTCATATGTGCCTGAGTGTTTGCATTCGTCTCTCGAGCTTGTTGATTTCAAAGTCCCATTCTCAGGACTTGCTGGAGAAATGAAGGTGGTAAGGTATTTCTTGGAGAATTCGGCTCTTCTCAAGAAACTCACTCTGCGTTTGCGTTATCGTTCTTCACCAAAAGACAAATTCGTCAAGAAACTCCTCAGAATCCCAAAAGGCTCTACCGAATGCAGAGTAGTTATCTTCTTGATTGTTAAAAAGAGTAGAAAGAACTAAGTGAGGTTTTGTGTGTAAAAAACAAAGTGAATCTGCGCACTAGTTTCTTGGGGGTGGTTGGTTAAGTGGTCAGGACTCAGGTGATAATGATATTATTAAGCTTTTGTTATTTTACTTCCGTGGTTTCTGAATTTCAATGGCAGCTCATGATGTGTTAGTCACATTTAGTCATTAGCGGACTTCTCGATTTACAACTTTATATAGTAAGATTAGTTTATTACTAGTCATTTTTTTTGAATAGTGTTACAGATAAACATAGCTTTTAACAACAACAAAATTATAGGAACTTTCCTATTCACTCTTCACTAAACCGTATTTGACCGTGAACATGGACCTGATCTTCCGTTAACACAGGGGTGAGATCAAAAAACGGAGTAATGTGGAGTTTGTATGAATTGTTGAATATTTGGATTTTAATGGGTGCAAATGGTTGTATGCTAGTCTTCTTTTAACCGTGTTCATTTGCTATTTTTGGAGTATTGGGTTTAAAAACCAACCATTTAACATAAATTATTATTTCTGTCAATTATGATGGATCCCACTATAAAGTAAAACTTGTTACATTAGATTTTGTTACTTTAGAAAATAGAAGAGTAATAATAAGTTGGTGGAAAACTACTTTTATTCCATTTATATTTTCCCATCAATCATTATTTCTCTGATTTTACTCACTTACAACCTTTGCACCTATCCATAATATTAATTAAGGATCACTTTAATTATATTACATAAAATGCCATTGTATTTTAACATTTTCTTTATAATTTCATTAATGGTAGTTTAGTCATTTACTAATTCAACCAATTAATATTTATTTTTTAATTATTATATTCCTATTACCAAACACATTAATTTTCAAATATTCTTTAAATTAGTTTAACTCCAATTACTAATCACATTTAATTAATTTCAAATTTTCCATAAATAGTTATTTTGAAAATTTTAATTAATCATAGAATTAATTACAACCAACTTTATATAAAAATAATAATTATAATTACTATATATATGAGATTAAATTGTAAATATTTATACAATTTAAAATATTTTGCGAAAAATAACAAATAATATTTTTCAAATATTTATTATTATGTAACAATATAACAAAATAAAAATTATAATTAACATAAATATATATAATTAAATTATACATTTAAATATAAAACATATTGTGAAATAATTATTACAAAAAATCATATTCTTATTATTATGCAATAATATAACCAAACACATATGTTTGTAGAAAAATAAACTAAAATCTAATTTTTATGACTAATTATATATTATTTGTTATATGGTTAGTGCAATCTAATATTAAATTAAATTTTGATTAGATTAATTTCAAATTTAAAAGTAATATGATCAAATTTAAAAAAAACCATGGTTAATTAACAGTAAAAGATAATAACCATATAATTTTATTTAAATTATATTTAGTTCTATAAAATATCTAATGAATCGATTTTATAATATGTTATTAATATTCGATTACTAAAATTATGGAGCAAGCTTTTCAAAGAAAATCAAAATATTTTTGAATTAAGAAACAATAATTGCATAAATTTAAAGCATATTCTAAAAAATACGTATTCTAGCATATTTTCAAAAACATTACAAAAAATATTGATATATTTTTATTGTAGATGTAAAAACATATTAATAATAAGTTAGTAAATTAATAAAAGATTTTCATAATTTACAATTAACAAAATAAAACTATTTATTACAATATTATTTCAATAAACTATAAGGAAAATAAAAACAGTAACTCACATTATCTCATTTTTTCTAATTTATTTTGGCTAATTGTTTTCTCTATTTAGATTTTCAAAAAAAAAAATTTTGCAAACATCAATATTTTTAGTCGAAATTAATTTTTTATATGTTAAATATTTTGTTTCAGTTTGTTTACTATGTATAAGGTTGTTATTTTTAATTTTTTTAGTTTTTAATTTATTATTTTTTTTTTACAAAGAAGAAGAAGAAGAACAAATAAGAAGGAGAAGAAGAATGAGGAGAATAAAGAGAAGTGATGGATGAGAAGAAGAGTAGATGAAAAAGAAAAAAAAAAAGAGAAGAACATGAGAAAAAGGAGAATAAGTGATAAAGAAGAAGAAGGAAAATAAAGGATAATAAGAAGGGATGAAAAAGAAGAAAAACGAATAAGAAGAAGGAGAAGTGATGACAAATAAGACCAATAGAGAAGATGAAAAAACGGAAAAGGAGATTGGAGAAGAAAGAGAATGGATGAAGAAGAAGAAGACATGAAGGAGGAAGAGAAAAAGAAGACGAAGGATAATAAGGAGAAGAATGGATGAAGAAGAATATGGATACATAGAAGAAGAAAAAGAAGGAGAGAGAGGAAGACCAACGAAGGAGAAGAATGAGAAGAAAGATGAAAAAGAAGAAGAAGAAGAAGAAGAAGGGATGGAGGAGAAGACGAAGGAGTAACCAAGAGTCTTTAGCTCGACTGGTAAAGGATCTAGGCAAAACTTAGAGATCACATGATCGAGTGACTCTTGGTATTAAACTAATATTACATGATGTGGTTTCGGGCCTGCAGAGATTGCATGCTTCAGCCCATAACTTCATGGTAATCTAAAAAAAGGAAGAAGGAGAAAAACGGAGAAAAAGAAAAATAAAGGATAAAAAGGAGAAGGAGAAGAACAAAAACAAATGAAGGGAGAGAAGAAGAAGTGATTAAGAAGAAGAAGCAGGAGAAACAGAAAGAGAAGAAAGAATTGTTGGGGTCGGTCTCCACTATGACGAAATTAACAAAGAAAAAGTTAGTAATGGAAATAAGCCTAGCCAAATTGAAGAGGTGATAAGCCAGACTGACAAGCTGAGCTGGCAAACTACCGAGTCAAACTGGCGAACCGCCGAGCAGAAACAACGAGTTGGATCGATAAAGACGGATTAAACCATTCATGTCCCAGATAGGTGGACCAAACCAACAAGATATACCAAACCGATGATTCGAGATAAATATTTTTAAATAAAAATAATAGTGTGGTTAACAAAATGACAACTAGATATTCAAACCTGTAAAAAACCGACTACAACATAAGAACACAAGTTATATATAAAATCAGTAATACATTATATCTTTAAATATAAAAGTTGGGTTTGGAAAACAACAATAAGCGGAGACCGACCCCAACAATTCTTTCTTCTCTTTCTGTTTAAAAAAAAAACAGATAATAGAAATGAAGAAGAAAGAATAGGAAGGGAGAAGGAGAAGAAAAAAACTAAATACAATATTAAAAGCATAAATTTCATGTAAAACTAATAACATATTATCATATTTTACAATAACAACTTGTGTGTATACTATATTGATTTAGTTGCACGTAACTTATATTATTTTTTTTTTAAATTTAATTTTTGTATTTACAATATTTAATTTTAATCTTCATAACACATAAATAAATAATTTATTATTAATATAACTATAATTTTTTTTGGTAGGAGGGGGGTGGGGGAGACATATCGTAACTGAAAATTGAAACTAAAGTAGGTGAAACCGAATCTAAAAACTGGACACCTAGAAGAAGGGAAAAAACAGAGTTAGTTAATTCATCAACAAGACAATTAGCTTTTCTGTTAGCAAGAAAAAAAAGACAATTAGCTTTTATATACACATATGAAAAACAGACTATTCATTCTCTTGAAATAAACCATGATATATATGTACTAGAAAACAGATTATCTTATAACATAATATATAATAAATCTCTTTATACTATATAATTTAAATATTTATAAAATTTATTTAAAGAATTATATACATGCGTGGACGCGCAGGTCTAACATCTAGTAATTTCTTAAGAGAATATTTTTTTCTAATTTAGAAGGACCTAGTTTAATTTAAAGAAACAGTCAATAAATTTAATAATATAATTTTAGAAGAATCCAAATAAATATGCAATTCCTCCCAATTTTTTTCATCTCAAATATCAACCATTTACGTTCTAAGTTCTAGCTAGTAACAAGCAAAAAAAGAATATGAATAAAAATAAAAAGAATGAAATGAATAAAATAAAAGAAATAAATAGGAAGGAAATACATATAGAATGAAAATATTTTTGGTCTATAATTTTTTAAAATAATAAGGAATGGAACAAGATAATATGGAACAAATATTATTAATAAATAGTAAAAAAATTAAAAAATGATCGGGAATTAAAAATTTGACAGACTGACAGTTATAGAGAGAGTAGCCCAGATTGAGTTGCCATATTCAATTGTTGGGCTTTTTAATAAGCTGAAACATTATTGTTGGGCTTTTGGGTAACAAACACGCTCTAGTAGTATATAACTAAATATATTAAGTACAATCTTCTTGGGAGAAACGCAACACACCCACTTCCGGTGACTGATTCCCAAATTCGAAGGCGAAAAATCACGATCTACAGTTCCGGTATGTGATTTCATTCCCTTCGGTCAAAACATTCTGGTTTCTTCTTCTTCCTTCCTCTGTTCTTTCTTAATCAAATTTTGCATTAAACAAAAATGGTGTTCTCCTCTCTCACGATTAATGTTTTAGTTGTTTCTCTCTTACTCTCACACGAAGAATTTAGCGAACGTGAATTTGTGTGTTTTTATCTGGTTAAAACAGAGAGTTTATTAGTTACCTTGTCAATTTTGCTATGCAGAACCAAGAGGACATCATGGTAGATAGAGAAAGATCGAAAGAAAAATTAGATAGGATAAGCGAACTACCCGATGAATTGATATCTGAGATACTTTCTCATCTCCCCACGAAGAAAGCTGTTACTACGAGCGTTTTAACCACAAGATGGAGAAATCTCTGGCTCTGGGTTCCTCGTCTGAGATTGGATTCCCAGAAATTCCCAAGTTTGGATGCATTCGTGAGTTTCGGCGACAGGTTCTTCAGTTCCGATAGGGTTTCCTGCATAGACAAAGTCGTGTTGCTCGCTGATCAAAGGGAAGACGATTATTTCATCACATCGTGGGTCGATGCTGCGGTTAAGCGTAAGCTCCAACATCTACATCTTGAGTTTCTTGCAGGATATTTTCATTGCATGACGAGTAGGTTTATAGTGACTTCGTGTCATAAGATGCCACCAAGCCTATATGCATGTGAGACACTGGTATCCTTAAACCTCTCTGAGCTGACCTTACCTCCTGGTGCAGCAGAGTTTGTTTCTTTGCCTTGTCTCAAGACCATGCGCTTAATCCGTGTTTGGTTTCCCATTGATGCTACCTTCGAGAGTCTTGTCTCTTCCTCCCCTGTCCTGGAGGAGCTGTACATTAGCGAGCCTTGGAATCGTTATGCACGGGTGCTCTCTAGGTCCTTGAAGAAGCTAAGTTTAAGATCGCGTACTGCCTCACAAGTTGTGGTCGATGCTCCTCGACTAGGGTTTTTGAGGATCGATGGTACCTTAAAGGATAGGTTTGTGATAACCAATGTGGATCCCAGTGTCAAGCTAGTTCTTTCTCTCAGCTCTACATTTGGGGGTTTTGATGAAGAAAGCCTTTTATCAAACAGAAACAGATTCTGCAGTTTCGTCTCTGGGGTTTCGAATGTCAGGGATTTGACAATATTTGGAAACAGCTCCGAGGTATGTATAATTTTTGGTTCACATTGTATGTTTTCCAATCATTAAAAGTTTCTGACCCATGTTAATGTTTCTTTTAGGGTTGTTCATATTCGAAATGGTTACCAACCATTCTTGAGAGCTTCCGGAACCTGAAATCCCTCAGCTGGGTGGGATGATCTGCTAAAACCCTAATGATCAATCTCATTCCTCGTGTCTTTTTTTGTTGCGTTTTAATTAATCCATTCCTCTCATCTTTGCTCAGGGATGCGACGATAGTTTTGAGGAGCTGCACTTCGATTGGATGAATCAGATCAGTTTTTCATCTGCGCCTGAGTGTTTGCTTTCGTCTCTCGAGTCTGTTGATTTCAAAGTCCCACTCTCAGGACTTGCTGGAGAAATGAAGGTATTAAGGTATTTCTTGGAGAATTCGGCTCTTCTCAAGAAACTCACTATACGTTTTCGTTGTGATTGTTCAACAAAAGATGAATTCGTCAAGGAAGTCCTCAGAATCCCAAGAGCCTCTACCGAATGTGAAGTCGTTATCCTCTGAATGGTACCGAGTAGAGAGAAACGTATAGAGGTTTCATGGGGTGGTTGGTTACTAAGTTGTCAGGTGATAATGATATTATATTGAAGGTTTTGTTATTTTGCTTTCATGGTTTCTGTATTTCCATGGCAGCTCATGATGTTAGTCAGATTGAGCCAACTCTAGAACTTTAATACCAAAGGTTGGTTTTATTACTAGAGAATCAAATTTGTTTTTTTTGAATAGTGTTTCAGATAAAGCTAGCTTTTCACAACATCAAATTACATTGAAACTTTCCTATTCACTTTTCATTATACCGTATTTGACCAGAAAACATAGCCTTGTCGTTTAAGACAAGACCTAAACGCTGCGTTAAATCCTTAAGTCTGAGTTAACAAAAAATTAAAAAAAAAACCTCTCGTGCGGCTTCGTCCCTTTCTTCGAGTTAGTGAAAAGGAGACGCCGTATCGCATCTCATCTCATCTCACCGCCGGATGATTTTTTCCCCCTTATCTTCTCTGTAACTCTAATGTCGAAGTTAGTAATGAAGCTCAAGTCAAAAATTAGCAATGTGAATATGCGTGGAGCGGAAGTTTGCTGAACTAAAGTTCGACTCAAGTGACTCAGCATCTTTGGGACCACTTCGTTATAGTCGTTTGCTTCCCGTCATTTATTAACGGAGCATGAATTGTTTGTCGTCTTCAGACAAGGGCTCTGTTTGGTGATCGTACAAACTGTAGAGGCTGTTTCCCGAGGCTGTTGCCGTTTGATGCTAGGGCAATTTGGAGTTTCGCTATTTAAGTTCAGTAGAGGTTAAAAGAGAAAGTTAGAGCAGAAGTGAGAACAATACAAAATGTGTAAACTTTATTGTCTTTGTTCTTGGGGATACAAAGGTGTGAGATAAACCGAGAGAAACATCTTGTAAGGGAGTTTTGGGGTTTTGGATCTCTGTGTAACCTTGTGATCTAGTGGATTCCGGGAATAAATCCCGGCGAGACGTAGCGACCCGTGTTTATGGGCGTGAACTCGTTAAATCATGCGTGTCTGCTCTGTTTTTTCTTTTCTTCTCTAAACCTCTGTTCTTTCCTCTGTTCTTTAAACGTGCAAGTGTTCGAGCTTATTCAAAGGAGCTCTTGGTTTGTTGTTGATTCTCACGAGTAAAGGCTTCACCTTTCGATCCCAGAATCATATCAGAGTGGTATCAGAGCGAAGGTTCGTTATCCGTGGTTTGATAGAGATCTCTCAAGCATCGAATCATGGCGTCGTCAAGAGTGGATATGGAAAAGTTCGATGGACACGGAGACTACACGATTTGGAAGGACAGGCTGATAGCTCATCTAGATCTTCTTGGTCTAAGCAAGTTCTTGGAAGATGAAGGGTATGAGACTACAGATTCGGACGCAACAGAAGAGGATTTGAAAGAAGCTAAAGTAAAGGAGGAAACTTTAGCGGAGAAGAGGAAGAAAACAAGGAGTACCATTGTCTTGAGCCTCACAGATAGAGTTCTGAGAAAAGTCAGGAAGGAGAAGACTGTGCCAACGATGATAAGGGCTCTAGACAAGCTGTATTTATCTAGAGCTCTTCCTAAACGCATCTACTTGAAGCAGAAGCTCTATGGTTTCAGGATGTCCGAAAATATATCCGTTGAATCAAACATAGATGATTTCCTTCGTATAATCACAGATCTGGAGGACGCTGATGTTGAAGTTTCTGATGAAGACCAAGCCATCTTGCTTCTTATGTCTCTACCAAAGCATTTTGACCAGCTGCGAGATACTCTAAGATACAGCTCACGCAAGGCCACGCTTACTCTTGATGAAGTTACTGCAGCGATTTACTCAAAAGAGCTGGAGTTTGGTACAAGTTCGAAAGGGTCTAAGAGTCAAGGAGAAGGCCTTTATGCGAAAGGCAAAGGGGAGCAGAGAGGAAGAAGCGAATCTAGGGGAAAGTCTTCAAAACAGAACCGCTCAAGGTCTAAGTCTAAAGGGAAGAAAACCTGTTGGAATTGTGGGGAAGAGGGTCATTTTAAGAATGCCTGCACAAACCGAAACAGAAATCCTCAAAGACATAGAGACCAAGCTAACAACACTGGAAGAGGAGAGGCAGCAGTGGTACAGAAAAATCAGGATGAGGCTGCAGTATTATATGTATCAGAAGCATTACACTCTACGGATGTAAGTCTGCAGGATGTATGGATTATGGATACAGGGTGCAGTTGTCACATGACTCATAAAAGAGAATGGTTTGAGACTCTGAGTGAAGACGCTGGAGGATCAGTAAGGATGGGAAATAAGACTGTGTCAAAGGTTAAAGGGATTGGGAACATCAGGATCAGAAATGATGATGGCTCAACGGTTCTGCTTACTTAAGTGAGGTATATCCCTGATATGGATCGAAATTTGTTATCTTTGGGAACCTTAGAAGAGCAGGGATGCAGTTTTGAATCAAGCTACGGGATTCTAAAAGTAAAGAAAGACTCAGCAGTTCTCATGAAAGGAAAACGGTATGAGAAGCTCTACATACTTCAAGGGAAGCCTGAATATGGTCAGTCTTTAGCCGTTGAAAGAAGGAACGATGAAACAGTCTTATGGCACAAAAGGCTAGGACACATGAGTCAGAGGAACATGGACATACTGGTGAAAAAAGGCTTCTTGGACAGGAAGAAGGTTTCTACGCTAGAGATGTGTAAAGACTGCATTTACGGCAAAGCAAAAAGAGTGAGTTTTGATCTAGCAACCCATGACACAAAGAAAAAGTTGGACTATGTTCATTCCGATTTGTGGGGAGCGCCCTCAGTCCCACCATCTCTGAGCAAATGCCAGTACTTCATCTCACTAATAGATGATTACTCGAGGAAAACGTGGGTGTACTTCCTGAAGCATAAAGATGAAGCGTTTGCAGCATTTGTCGAGTGGAGTGTCATGGTGGAGAATCAAGCGGAAAGAAAGATCAAAATACTCAGAACAGATAACGGTTTGGAGTTCTGCAATCATCAATTCAACGATTTCTGTAAAGCAAAGGGGATTGTAAGGCACAGAACATGCTCTTACACACCACAACAGAATGGGGTTGCAGAAAGGATGAACCGGACCATTATGGAGAAAGTAAGAAGTATGTTGAGTGACTCTGGTTTACCAAAAACGTTTTGGGCAGAAGCAACCCAAACAGCTGTCACACTCATCAACAAGACACCATCCTCAGCGATCAGTTCAGAAATTCCTGATAAGAGATGGTTTGAAAAACAGCCTGCATACAGCTATTTGAGAAGATTTGGCTGTCTATCGTTTGTTCACTCGGATGATGGAAAGCTGGTGCCTAGAGCAAAGAAAGGAGTACTCTTAGGTTATCCTGTTGGAGTGAAGGGATACAAGGTTTGGTTGATGGATGAGAAGAAGTGTGTTATCAGCATGAACATTATGTTTCAGGAAAATGCAGTTTATAAAGACCTACTGCAGAGTAACAAGGGAGCGCCAATAGACCAAGAAGATTCATCAAGCTCTCCTCTTGACACTGACATAGAAGATGAAAGTGGTACAAGCTCTGGTGGAGATCTCTTGGAAGAGACAGGATCCCCGAGAGATCAATCACCAGCTCAAGAACAACATCAATCAGATCACACAGAATCAGATGATGATGAGATTGTGGGAGAAACACCAGAAAGTTATCACTTAGCTCGTGACAGGCAGAGAAGAGAGATCAATGCTCCCAAGAGACTCATTGAGGAAATGAATTATGGAGAAGACACTGATGACGAAGAAGAAGAGTTTACGGCTGAAGCCCTTGTCACTACAGTTTATGGTGACAAGATTGAACCTGCAAGTTATCAGGATGCCTTAAGAGATGAAGATTGGGTCTTATGGAATGGTGGTATGGGAGAAGAAATGGATTCTCTACTAAAGAACCACACGTGGACAGTCGTTACAAAACCTGCAGGTCAAAGGGTCATAGGCTGCAAGTGGATTTTCAAGCGTAAGCCTGGAATTCCTGGAGTTGAAGAGCCGAGATATAAGGCAAGGCTTGTTGCAAAGGGATATGCACAGAAAGGAGTCGACTATAAAGACATCTTCTCACCAGTGGTGAAACATGTATCTATAAGGATCTTATTAGCCATTGTTGCAGAAGAAGACTTGGAGCTTGAACAGCTTGACGTCAAAACCGCTTTCCTCCATGGAGAACTGGATGAAAAGATTTATATGGAACCTCCAGAGGGATTTGAAGATCAGTTCAAGCCGGGGCAAGTGTGTTTGTTAAACAAGACTCTGTATGGCCTTAAGCAGTCACCAAGAAAGTGGAATCAGAAGTTTGACAGTTTTATGACTGAGATTGGTTTTGAAAGGAGTCTGCGCGACAGTTGTGCTTACATCAAGAATCTCATTGATGGTTCAAAGGTCTACCTTCTGATCTATGTCGACGACATGTTAGTGGCTGTTAAAGACATGAGTGTTATATCAGAACTGAAGCAACAGTTAAGCATTAAGTTCGAGATGAAGGATCTCGGAGCTGCTAAGAGGATTCTTGGCATGGAGATCACAAGAGACAGGAGCAAAGGGATTCTAACATTGTCTCAGGAAGCTTATTTGGGTAAAGTGTTGGAGCTGTACAAGATGGAGCAAGCTAAGCATGTGGTAACACCTTTGGGTGCTCATTTAAAGATGCGTGCAGCAACAGAACAACAACTACTCGATGATAAGGAATACATGAAGACCGTTCCCTATTCAAACGCAGTTGGGAGCATCATGTACTCCATGATTGGTACGAGACCAGACTTGGCATATCCGGTGGGTATCATCAGCCGCTTCATGAGCAAGCCTATCAGAGAACATTGGTTGGGAGTCAAATGGGTGCTGAGATACATTAAAGGAACGTTAAAGACCAAGCTGTGCTACACCAAAGGCTCTGAATTCACTCTCAGAGGGTATTGCGACTCTGATTTCGCAGCTGATGTAGATAAAAGAAGATCTATCAGTGGAATGGTATTTACTCTCGGTGGTAGTACAATCAGTTGAAGATCCGCTTTACAAAAGGTTGTCGCTCTCTCTACTACAGAAGCAGAGTACATGTCCCTAAATGAAGCCGTGAAAGAAGCTCTTTGGTTAAAGGGACTGCTGAAAGACTTTGGCTACGAACAGAAGTCGGTGAAGATTTTCTGTGATTCTCAAAGCGTCATAGCTCTTTCAAAGAACAATGTGCATCATGAGCGTACCAAGCACATCGATGTCAAGTACCACAAGAACAGAGATGTTATTGCTGATGGTATTGTGGAGGTGACGAAGATATCAACACTGAGTAATCCGGCTGATATCTTCACTAAAATTTTACCCGTGAGCAAGATGCAATCTGCATTGGACTTGCTACGAGTAAAGGCTGAGTAAGCGTACTCAGGGAATCCGAGATAGGAATCCAGAAACTAGATCTCTCTCTCTCTCTCTCTCTCTCTCACAGGCTCAGGTAAATTCGTACACATTGGTTAATTTTTGATTAATCTCTCATTGCTAGGTGGAGTTTTGTTGAAGTTAGTAATGAAGCTCAAGTCAAAAGTTAGCAATGTGAATATGCGTGGAGCGGAAGTTTGCTGAACTAAAGTTCGACTCAAGTGACTCAGCATCTTTGGGACCACTTCGTTATAGTCGTTTGCTTCCCGTCATTTATTAACGGAGCATGAGTTGTTTGTCGTCTTCAGACAAGGGCCCTGTTTGGTGATCGTACAAACTGCAGAGGCTGTTTCCCGAGGCTGTCGCCGTTTGGTGCTAGGGCAATTTGGAGTTTCGCTATTTAAGTTCAGTAGAGGTTAAGAGAGAAAGTTAGAGCAGAAGTGAGAACAATACAAAAGGTGTAAACTTTATTGTCTTTGTTCTTGGGGATACAAGGGTGTGAGATAAACCGAGAGAAACATCTTGTAAGGGAGTTTTGGGGTTTTGGATCTCTGTGTAACCTTGTGATCTAGTGGATTCCGGGAATAAATCTCGGCGAGACGTAGCGACCCGTGTTTATGGGCGTGAACTCGTTAAATCGTACATGTCTGCTCTGTTTTTCCTTTTCTTCTCTAAACCTCTGTTCTTTCCTCTGTTCTTTAAACGTGTAAGTGTTCGAGCTTATTCAAAGGAGCTCTTGGTTTGTTGTTGATTCTCAGGAGTAAAAGCTTCACCTTTCTTGCCCATAATCATATCATCTAATATCCGTTGTATTCTAGGGTTTTTCTCTCACCTCTTTTAGTATTGAATCTCTTGTATCCCGTAGTCACAGAGAATCTCAGTGTCTTTAAAAACCCTAGGCTCTCACGATGAATGTTTGAGTATTGTAGCGAATGTTAATTTGTGTGTTTCAGTGGAGATTCTATTAGTTTACCTTGGGCATCAAGTTTGTCTCTGAAAACTTGCGTTTATGCAGAGAAGTGTGTTGTTAACTTCAGAAGCAAAAGACATGGCTGATACAGAGAAATAAAAAAAGCTTCACCAGAGGTTGAAGCAATTGGATAGGATAAGCGAGTTACCCGAAGCTTTGATATCTGAGATGATACTTTCTCATCTCCCAACAAAGGATGCTGTAAGAACAAGCGTGTTATCCACGACATGGAGAAGTCTCTGGAAGTGTGCTCCTCGTGTGCGTTTGGATTTCCGAGAATTCCCAGGCCGAGATGCATTCGAGAGTTTTGGTAACAAGCTTTTCATCTCAGATAGGGTTTCCTGCATAGACAGAGTCGAGTTGGTTGCTGATCGAAAGGAAGATGATTATCACATCACATCATGGGTTGATTCTGCAGTAAAGCGCAAGCTACAACATCTAGATCTCCAGAGTATTTTTGTTGAAGATGATCATTATGTTGATTTTCGTTGGATGCCCTTAAGCGTTTATACCTGTGAGACACTGGTATCCTTAAATCTCTTTGGAGTGGCCGTCTCGTATGATGCAGAGTTTGTTTCCTTGCCTTGTCTCAAGACTATGCGCTTAAACTTTATTTATTTTCACGATGATGACGACAACAACAACACTTTCGAGAGGCTTGTCTCTTCGTCCCCTGTCCTGGAGGAGTTGGAGGTTATCGACTTTCTGAGCGATGATGATTATGAAATACGCTTCAAGGTGCTCTCTAAGTCGTTGAAGAAGCTTATTATGCAACCTGGTGACACTGCCTCGCAAGTTGTGATCGATGCTCCTCAACTAGGGTTTCTGAGGATCGATGGTACCTTAAAGGATATCTTTATAGTAACCGATATGGATCCCAACGTCAAGCTAGCTATTTCTCTCTGCTCTGTATTTGGGGGTCGTTTTGATGAAGAAAGCCTTTTATTAAACAGAAACAGATTCTCCATGTTTCTCTCTGGGGTTTCGAATCTCAGGGATTTGACAATATTTGGAAGCAGCTCCAAGGTATATATATCAGTTCCTGAATTAGACATGTATACTTTTTCTGAACCCGTGTTAATGTTTCTTTCTTGTCACGTAAATTCGTAGGGTTATTTGTATAAGCTATGGTTCTCAACCATTCTTGAGAGCTTCCCAAACCTGAAATCCCTCAGATGGGTGAGATGATCTGCTAAAAACCCTATGACTTTTTTTTTGTTCTTTTCAAGTTTGCGTTTTAATCCTTTCTTATTTCTTTCTTCAGGAATGCGACATTAAGTATGAGAAGATGCACTTGAATCAGATGAATCAAGTCAGTTTCTCATCTGTACCAGTGCCTGAGTGTTTGCATTCGTCTCTCGAGTTTGTTTATTTCAAAGTCCCATTCTCAGGATTTACTGTAGAAATGGAGTTAGTAAGGTTTTTCTTGCAGAACTCACCAGTCCTCAAGAAACTCACTCTACATTTTCCTTATGATTGTTTACAAAAAGATTACTTGCTCAGATTCTCCAGAGCCTCCATCAAATGTGAAGTCGTTATCCTCTGAATTTTATAAGAGTATATATTGAACCAAATATATATTGAACTTTGAGGGGGTGTATTGAAACAGAAATTTTAGAAAACTTTGTGATTATTTAAAAATTTCATGTTATTCAACTAATGATTTCTAAATGTCATACCAAAGTCCATGTTATTGAACATGAAATTTATATAAAATCAATTAAAATTATTTCAACATCCATGTTATTCAATCAAAAAATTTTAAAAACCAAATCAAATCCACTGTTATTGAAAATATTTTAAATAGTGAATATTACAAAATATTGAATACTTTTAAATGATTTGGTGGAGTTTGGTAGTTAAAAATATAGAAAAACAAATCTTATTGTTTTAAGTGAGATTTCATATTATTTTAATATCAAATCATATCAAGTTTTATAATCCACATAAAATCATCTAAAATTTTATTAAAATTCAAATTTTTTCAAATTCTCTAAAATTTTAGTTTCAATACACCCTTCTAAATCTTTGGTTTCCATTTTCTAAGTTTATCTTGTCTATTATTATTCTTTTCCGTTGTTTAGTAACTCCCTTAAAGATCATCAAAGTTCATTAACGAGAAGATCTTTTTCGTTTTTATCTTCATGCATTAAAATGACAAACTTCGACATATAATCCATAGTACAACTGCAAAAATTTGAAACAGAACGTTTTAGTTGTTGTAAAGAAACGGCGAGATGTCTCTTTGGTTTTGTCGAAAACGTCAAAGAGTTTTATTTTAACCCCTGAATCCTAAACGGCGAGGTGTCTCTTTCGCAATGTTGTTTTTTCGAAGAATAACCCTTGCACGCCTTGTCGTTTAAGACAGACCTAAACGAAGAAGCGTTTCTCTTCAGTTGACGAACGACAATAGAATAGGGGCTATTTTTGGTAAACCAGAAACGTTAGGGGTAAACTAATAATTAAATCTTAAGTCTTATTTTACAAAAATGGCCACTGCTAAAACCTCGGCTGTGGTTTCCCCTTTCTCCTAGTTCGTGAAAAGGAGACGTTGAATTGTATCCCACCGCCGTCGCCGTATCACCGTTGCCGATTCACTGGTGATTCATCCTTATCTTCTCTTTTTCTCGAATATCCGTCGCATTCTAGGGTTTTTTTCTTCTCACCTCTCTTAGCGTTGAATCTCTTGTATTCCGTCGTCGCAGTGAATCTCGTTGAATCGAAAATGGCTCATGGTGCTCAAAGCCGGAACGTGATTCGGCATGTAGTCTCCAGAGGAACAGCTTTCCAAAAATCTGAAAATGCGATCCATCATCCTCTCCTTTTCCAAGGAGTTCGATACAGAAAACTGGAAGTTATTCTCACAACGGTGGGTTTTAAGTTTTACTGATTCTGGAATGCGTTTTTATCGTTTTCATTCGTTTCGATTTTGAGTTTTCAATCAAACAAAAGTCAAATTTTGAGTTTTCGATTTTGAGATTTTGAGTCTCTCATTTCGTTGGATTTGAATTGAATCCGATGTTTGGGGTTTTGTATCTGATTCGTGTCTACTCTTCATCTGGATACTGTGTTCGTAGGGCATAGAGAAGCTTGGGAAAGCCGGTGAGACGGTGAAGGTAGCTCCTGGGTACTTCAGGAACTGTCTTATGCCCAAGCTCCTTGCTGTGCCAAACATTGACAAGTATGCTCATCTCATCAGAGAGCAACGCAAGGTAACAATACTTCAACTCCACACTTGCTTCTTCTCTGAGCTTCGCTCTTGACTTTTCACAATTGAGTTTTAGTCTATCTGGTTTGACACTACTAGGTTGTAGCAATGTTAGCTGTTTTCTGCTCTTCTTGTTTGTTTGTGTTCTTAATGATGCAAAGGAAGAGTAAAGCAGATACTTTTGACATGCCCTCATAGTGTTTTATGATATAGTAAATGATGTTTTTTCCTTTTAGTCGATTTGATTTCTTGATGGGAATCTGCTTCAGATGCGTAATTATGAAGAAAAGGAAGAGGTTAAGGTGGTTCATAAAACTTCTGAAGTCCAGACAAAAGAGTTTGAAAAGGCTGCAAAGCGACTAGCGAATGCCAATTTGGTAACTTTACTTGACCCTTTTTTTAACTCTCAGTATTCAGCATTTCTTGTGGAATACTCAGGAACTTGGTATCAGATTTTGTTCTATGAGATCCATCTTTTTGGTTAACAGGTGCTGAGGAAGTTAATTGACAAGGAAAAGTTCAAAAACCGGTCCTCAAAAGAGGACAAACCGGATGTACAAACACCTGTGACAAAGGAAGAGATAGTCTCTGAGGTTAAAATTGTTACTTTCTTCTACCATTATCTTTAACTATGTGACATGTAAGTAAACCTTCGTGAGTAGATTTTTGTCATGATTCAGTTGATTGTGTTTGGTTTTGTTTTCAAAGGTGGCGAGACAGCTTTGTGTGAAGATTGATCCGGAGAATGTGGTTTTACCAACGCCATTGGCAACTTTTGGCGAGTATGAGGTGCCTTTGAAATTCCCAAAGACTATTCCTTTGCCACCAGGAGCTCTTCAATGGACTCTCAAAGTCAAAGTCCGTGGCCATTAAAACCTTCTCCTACCTTTAGAAACTCTTCATTCATAGTTTTCTTTTCAACTTCAGTCTGTTTCATGTAGCCTTGGAAGCATTGTAGTTTAATGGACACAAATCAGTTGCATTTTGTCTTCATTTGTTGTATAAACCGGGTTTAATCCGGTTTCGAATTAAAACCATGAGTTGAGTTTTGTATGAACCGAATTCTACCAGAAGAGGGATACTGAAATCAATAAGTTTTTGAGTTTTGTGCAATTATGTATAACTTATAGAGTAATATCATAAAATAGCGTAAAATAGCGTAAGACTGGTAGTCAATTGAGCGATCGACATATGCATTTTGCCAGTTATATTCTCGTTTTTGCCCTTATGCGCTCCATCGAAATATTACTTTTTTTCTCTTCAAATCCAAATTACTTATTCACAAAAGGAGACGAAGGGATATAAAGACAAAAAATACTTTTAGTGAATCACTTTATTTAAAATAGTTGTAACTTATTTTCTTTGTTAAAAATAGAGGGGCATGTCAATATCGCGCCTCTTGCTTTCACGGTACCCCATAACAACACTTCACCGATTGATTTACCTTATTTTCGATATTCCCAAAGCTTAATCGATACCGTTGGACGAAACAGAGTGAGAGGCAACCGCAAGCGACATCCGGTAGATCTTAGCGATTCAGACGTCGATAGGTTATTTTTCAGGTAATTTCCAACTGTCTTCCAATTGCGAGACCATCAGGTCTCGCTATTATGTTATTTCCCCTTAAGTTACCACTTTCACTCGCCGCTAGGGATTCTCTTGGTTTGTAGCAACAATTGTCAGAGATATTCATTTTGCATGTTGTTTTCTTTTCTGATTTTCTTTTTAGACATGTAGTTCGAACCTAGACAAGTTTGGGTTGATGGATTTTCAAATTCCCTGCAAAACTATATTTTCCTCTGTGCTCATTCAGATTCAATAGCTAAAATTTCCCCCTGAGAAATAGGCATCCATCTACATTTATGAATGTTTATGAATCCGGTCGGCATTTAAGATTTACAAATAAAGTCCATATTTGCACATGGCTTGCATTGTCGATAAATGGACCTTCATATTCTTTTATCCGGCTCTACAATTTAAAATGATCTCACCATGTCTTTATTTTTGGTAACAGAAATCAGCACTCTCACAGCACCACATGTCTGTTTATAAACCCTTATCACTAATTGTAATATATGTATCGTAGACTGACATCGGTTTGTAATCAGCATTCGCAGGATGGAACCAAACGATCTCCCCCTTCGCATCTTCGCTGATCAGCAGGAGCCGGTGGGAGAGAGAGTGAACTCCTACTTCAAGCTTGAAACCATTGGTGTTATCCTCAAAGCACTCAATCCGGACGAATTAAACGTGATCCGCCCATGGTTCGGAAAATTGTTAGACCTCTATCACAAAACCGCTCACTCTGGAAAACTTGCCCACTTTCTCCTAACGAGGCAGCTGAAGACCGACAAAAGACACGAACTCTGGTTCGTATTTGGGATCTCGACTCTGCCGGACAGGTAACTTCATTATAAACCCGGGTAGCCTTGTATCTTATGTTATATATCTCCAACAATATAATCAGATACCCGAATATATGGATGTCTAAGTTTGAGCTTGTGGCCTTATAAATCAGTTTGCGGGTGTTCTTTTGTAGGTGGCCGTGACTTCAATAATCGAAGACGAATTCGATGGAACTCCCCAAAGTGCCTTCGCATGGGCCAATGAAGTAGATGACCCAAAGGTGGATCACATGGAGATGCTATCTTCACCTTGCAGTCTTGTTTGTTCTTGAACACATGCCCCAAATACAGCTCATCTCCTTTATATGCCACATCCAATATGACATTCTCTGTTTGATCCAATCCTGAGTAAACCCGTCCATCAAATACATTAGATGTTTTAACGTTTTTTACGGATACACGATCCGCTGAGTTAATATAACAATCTATGGAACAACATAACTTTCGGAGATGAATATAACACTCCATTAATGTTAATAGACATCTACAATACACTTTTATCATTACAAATCTCCATTATTTTCAAATAACCCGTTACAAGTTTATATCCGGCCCGCACTAAGTTTATATCCATCCAGCAACACAAATTGCCATTCTTTTCTGATTTTCTTTTTAGACATGTAGTTCGAACCTAGACAAGTTTGGGTTGATGGATTTTCAAATTCCCTGCAAAACTATATTTTCCTCTGTGCTCATTCAGATTCAATAGCTAAAATTTTCCCCTGAGAAATAGGCATCCATCTACATTTATGAATGTTTATGAATCCGGTCGGCATTTAAGATTTACAAATAAAGTCCATATTTGCACATGGCTTGCATTGTCGATAAATGGACCTTCATATTCTTTTATCCGGCTCTACAATTTAAAATGATCTCACCATGTCTTTATTTTTGGTAACAGAAATCAGCACTCTCACAGCACCACATGTCTGTTTATAAACCCTTATCACTAATTGTAATATATGTATCGTAGACTGACATCGGTTTGTAATCAGCATTCGCAGGATGGAACCAAACGATCTCCCCTTTCGCATCTTCGCTGATCAGCAGGAGCCGGTGGGAGAGAGAGTGAAACTCCTACTTCAAGCTTGAAACCATTGGTGTTATCCTCAAAGCACTCAATCCGGACGAATTAAACGTGATCCGCCCATGGTTCGGAAAATTGTTAGACCTCTATCACAAAACCGCTCACTCTGGAAAACTTGCCCACTTTCTCCTAACGAGGCAGCTGAAGACCGACAAAAGACACGAACTCTGGTTCGTATTTGGGATCTCGACTCTGCCGGACAGGTAACTTCATTATAAACCCGGGTAGCCTTGTATCTTATGTTATATATCTCCAATAATATAATCAGATACCCGAATATATGGATGTCTAAGTTTGAGCTTGTGGCCTTATAAATCAGTTTGCGGGTGTTCTTTTGTAGGTGGCCATGACTTCAATAATCGAAGACGAATTCGATGGAACTCCCCAAAGTGCCTTCGCATGGGCCAATGAAGTAGATGACCCAAAGGTGGATCACATGGAGATGCTATCTTCACCTTGCAGTCTTGTTTGTTCTTGAACACATGCCCCAAATACAGCTCATCTCCTTTATATGCCACATCCAATATGACATTCTCTGTTTGATCCAATCCTGAGTAAACCCGTCCATCAAATACATTAGATGTTTTAACGTTTTTTACGGATACGCGATCCGCTGAGTTAATATAACAATCTATGGAACAACATAACTTTCGGAGATGAATATAACACTCCATTAATGTTAATAGACATCTACAATACACTTTTATCATTACAAATCTCCATCATTTTCAAATAACCCGTTACAAGTTTATATCCGGCCTGCACTAAGTTTATATCCATCCAGCAACACAAATTACCATTCTTTTCTGATTTTCTTTTTAGACATGTAGTTCGAACCTAGACAAGTTTGGGTTGATGGATTTTCAAATTCCCTGCAAAACTATATTTTCCTCTGTGCTCATTCAGATTCAATAGCTAAAATTTCCCTCTGAGAAATAGGCATCCATCTACATTTATGAATGTTTATGAATCCGGTCGGCATTTAAGATTTACAAATAAAGTCCATATTTGCACATGGCTTGCATTGTCGATAAATGGACCTTCATATTCTTTTATCCGGCTCTACAATTTAAAATGATCTCACCATGTCTTTATTTTTGGTAACAGAAATCAGCACTCTCACAGCACCACATGTCTGTTTATAAACCCTTATCACTAATTGTAATATATGTATCGTAGACTGACATCGGTTTGTAATCAGCATTCGCAGGATGGAACCAAACGATCTCCCCCTTCGCATCTTCGCTGATCAGCAGGAGCCGGTGGGAGAGAGAGTGAACTCCTACTTCAAGCTTGAAACCATTGGTGTTATCCTCAAAGCACTCAATCCGGACGAATTAAACGTGATCCGCCCATGGTTCGGAAAATTGTTAGACCTCTATCACAAAACCGCTCACTCTGGAAAACTTGCTCACTTTCTCCTAACGAGGCAGCTGAAGACCGACAAAAGACACGAACTCTGGTTCGTATTTGGGATCTCGACTCTGCCGGACAGGTAACTTCATTATAAACCCGGGTAGCCTTGTATCTTATGTTATATATCTCCAACAATATAATCAGATACCCGAATATATGGATGTCTAAGTTTGAGCTTGTGGCCTTATAAATCAGTTTGCGGGTGTTCTTTTGTAGGTGGCCGTGACTTCAATAATCGAAGACGAATTCGATGGAACTCCCCAAAGTGCCTTCGCATGGGCCAATGAAGTAGATGACCCAAAGGTGGATCACATGGAGATGCTATCTTCACCTTGCAGTCTTGTTTGTTCTTGAACACATGCCCCAAATACAGCTCATCTCCTTTATATGCCACATCCAATATGACATTCTCTGTTTGATCCAATCCTGAGTAAACCCGTCCATCAAATACATTAGATGTTTTAACGTTTTTTACGGATACGCGATCCGCTGAGTTAATATAACAATCTATGGAACAACATAACTTTCGGAGATGAATATAACACTCCATTAATGTTAATAGACATCTACAATACACTTTTATCATTACAAATCTCCATCATTTTCAAATAACCCGTTACAAGTTTATATCCGGCCCGCACTAAGTTTATATCCATCCAGCAACACAAATTGCCATTCTTTTCTGATTTTCTTTTTAGACATGCAGTTCGAACCTAGACAAGTTTGGGTTGATGGATTTTCAAATTCCCTGCAAAACTATATTTTCCTCTGTGCTCATTCTGATTCAATAGCTAAAATTTTCCCCTGAGAAATAGGCATCCATCTACATTTATGAATGTTTATGAATCCGGTCGGCATTTAAGATTTACAAATAAAGTCCATATTTGCACATGGCTTGCATTGTCGATAAATGGACCTTCATATTCTTTTATCCGGCTCTACAATTTAAAATGATCTCACCATGTCTTTATTTTTGGTAACAGAAATCAGCACTCTCACAGCACCACATGTCTGTTTATAAACCCTTATCACTAATTGTAATATATGTATCGTAGACTGACATCGGTTTGTAATCAGCATTCGCAGGATGGAACCAAACGATCTCCCCCTTCGCATCTTCGCTGATCAGCAGGAGCCGGTGGGAGAGAGAGTGAACTCCTACTTCAAGCTTGAAACCATTGGTGTTATCCTCAAAGCACTCAATCCGGACGAATT